CAGCCTGAAAGTGTGACTCTCTTCTAGAGGTGAATTGGACTAGCCTCCAGGGCATAAAATCAGCAATTTATGCAACAACAGCATTGTCTGGAGCTGGGGAAGAGCTGTAATCTGCAGCCTGCATGCTGGGCAGGCAGCAGATTGCGACTCTGCCCTGCTTCCTTGCAGCAGTGTGGTCCAGAGCTGGGGCAGAGCCACAATCTGCAGCCTTCATGCTCGGGGCAGGGACATGCAGGCAGCAGGTCACAACTCTGCCCCAGCTCCTTGCAGCTGTGACAGAGCTGGAGCAGAGCTGCAATCCACTGCCTACCCATCCCTGCCCGGGGCATTCAGGCTGCACATCACAGCTCTGCTCCAGGTCCAGACCATGCTGTCACTTCCACAAGATCCCAACCTAGCTGCAGAGAGGCTCTGCACCCTGCCACACGCCTTGCCAGCAGGGGTGGTGCTGGGCGTGGAACTTGTAGGGACTTGTAATGGCTATAGCTACCCCAAAATTCCCCATAGCTTCCTGTTGGATCAGGATGCTGTTTGGGGCTTGAAATGGGTTGGGCTTGTTTTGGCCTTGTTTTTAAAGGCAGTGCCACATTTTTTTCTTGTGGGACTTGGCAACACTGCTCCATGCTGCTCAGGGTCTTGCCAGCAGCTCACTCCCTCAAGGTAGCTCTGTTCCCTCTGGATTAGTCTGACCCTGACCTCTTCTTGCTCAGATTGCAGGGTTTTAAATGCCCCAAGTCCCAGCCCCTTCCACTCAGGTGCCTCTTTAATTCTGGCATGGCTGCGCCTTGTTAGATCTAACTGGCAGCCTGCCCTACCAGCTCTGCTGCCTCCAGCTTGTGTCTGCCAGTGCATCTGTCCTATTTCTCTCACCTATTGAGGTGCAAATCACCACTTTACTGCAGTCTAGTCTTCCCCGCTGCCCAGCTAGCCTTTCATCCTCCCCTGTCCAGTGACAGGAGCCTTTGACTTCCTGTTACATGCACCCTTAAATAATTTTAATAGAGTTACTTCTACTGTATTTTGGCACCACAAAATTGTACATCTGAAATCTCCAAAAAGTGCAATTAAAGATAACTAGCAATGATTCAGAAATAATCATTAACAAGTAATCAAATGGGCAACAAAAAGAATCATAAGAGAAGAACCATCAACAAAAAATAAATTGATTTTTAGAGGAGTTTACTAAATAGTGCCACACTAAAATTTACTCTGCAAGGTCATTAAACGTGCTATAGATACAGACCTATATAAATGGTTAAAAATTGGCTGTGATACCGAAGGGAGAAGGTACTTGTGAAGAGTAACAATTTATTCGAAAGCCACTACAGCACCATGTAGTTCTGTATTAGGAAATGTTTTGACCTGGGAGGAGGAATGTACACTAGGGTAATGAAATTTGTTGATGATACATCCTAGAAAGGGGCAATCAATAGAAAGAAGAAGGGCAAAAAAGTCAGAATGACTCAGATAGAATGGGCCCAAAGGAAGATAAGTGCCTTATGCAATTAAGTGTAGAGAAACGTAAGATAATAAGATTAGGGACACAAAATAAGAAAAGAGCTTTAGCCCTAAATAATCATATAGTACAAAATACAAGGCAAAAGAAGAATCTAGAGATAGTGATAGATAAAGATCTGAAAGCTTCAGTACAGTGGTTAACAGTAATAATAAAAATGGTGCCACTGCTTCAGAGAGGTAACAAAAATATGGCAGATGAAGCTATTTCAGCCCTACATAAGAGATTTATGAATGAGGACACATTTGGAATATTGTGAAGAGTTCTGAACAGGCAGAGAGAACAGAGAAAAACAGAAAAAAGTAGATAACAAACTTAATTATTCATAAAGGTCAGGGAACAAAACAAAATTGCCCGAGGTCTTTGCAAAAGAAGGGAATGAATGGAGACCTCACTGAGGAATTCAAGATTTGGAAAAATCGTAGAAGGAACAGAGGCGATGGGGCTGGTATCTAAACCAGTAATAAATATAAGCAAAAAAACTGTGTAGGGGCTGGAGTTGAGATCTACAAAGACAAAGATGGAACACTTTACCGGGAGTGATTAATTCATGGAAATCTTTGCACAAGTCAGCAATACAAAGAAACAACCAGAATGACTATTTTATTTCTTAGTAGTAAGTATTTACTGAAACAGAAATTCAATTTGTAAACTGATGACTGAGTCAGAATGTCATAGTTTCATAGTTTCATAAATTTAGGGTCGGAAGGGACCTAGTAGATCTTCTAGCCCGACCCCCCGCCAGGGCGGGAGAACAACAAAACCCCAAAAACAAAAACTGGACTCAAATGAGTCCAGCCAGGTAGGCATCCAGCCTCTTCTTAAAGACCCCCAGGGTAGGGGCCAGCACCACTTCCCTTGGAAGTTGGTTCCAGCTCCTAGCCGCCCTAACTGTGAAGTAGTTCTTGCGGATGTCCAATCTATACCTCCTCTCCATCAACTTGTGC